GAATAGTGAAAATACATGACGCAGAAAGTAATATGCCTGAAGCATTTGTTTGGTCATTGCTCTTTTTTTGGCATCATAAGATCGGTAAAGATGATTTCATCATTTAAGGTCTTTTCTTTGCCAGTTTTACTCAGCTGTCATACAGAAGAATGCAGAAGTATACATAGTTCAATCAATATTCTTTTTGTTTAAAAAAATCCTGGTTATTAAAAAAATAAAACTGTAATACATCTAATAAAGCACCATTTAAAAAAAATATATATATAAATATATCTTGGGGTGATGCATTACACCCAATTATACAGATAAAATGTCATTTTATTTTTGATATTTTGAATATATTCTAAAACATGTTTGTACACAACTACTAGCATAATATTTTTACATAAGTAATTTTAAAATGGTCCCAAAATGTCTGTTTTCTCGCTATTTTTTAAATGTTAAAAACTCAATTTTAACCCTGAATATATACATAAATGCATACTCAATATAACCCTGAACACAACAGAAGTGGATGAGGGATCTGTGCAAGTATTTGTTATTGATACACACAAAGCTCAATTTTAGAATCTTGTTCTAATTCACTGCTCATGTACAAAAAATGAGTATAGCTTGAAGGGCCAAAAATAGGACATCAAGGATGTATTCATGCGATTGGCATTTTCACCACAGTGTGCACAGTGTATTTATTAACACTAATTGCATATGCGATAACATCAATAAGACTGCATAAATATCCATTTTGACACTGAGTAAATATTGTCATACCATTTTTAACAAGCTTGTTTTTTTGTTAAATGTGTTCATGTGCACAATTTAACTTTAATTTTTTGATTTGACTTGTTTAACTAATTGAAAATGCCTTTACTCTTAAACCTCCATTGCTACATGCAACGTCTAGTTTATTATTATCTGTGCACGAAAACACAACAATAATAAGCATTGTTTCTTGAAGCATCATAAATTAAATTAACTTCAATTAAAAGTAACAGCTTTGTGTATAAAATGCATAACATCATATTTATCTATGTGTGTTATGGTCAAGTAGGAGGGTCAATTGTGCAGAAGTACAGTATAAATATCAGAGATCATGGAGCATCATCACAATAGAACTCAAGAGACTCTTAAGGAAACCACAGGAGAACAAAACCCCAGAAAAGATCGCTATACAAGATTCACGGGGTAAGGTAAAATCTTTATTTCCTTTTATAAAGTCTTACATTTCCTTTTTACATACAGTATCTGAATATGTCTTAATTTAGGGATCGTTTAGTTAGTCTGTCAGGAAAAAAAGATACAAATAAAGATATATAATGAAAACAATTATTATTTTTTATAAATATGTTAGCAAGTAATATAAATGATCTAAAGCAATAACTACAGTAATAAATCAAAATAATGTTTTACTACAAGCTATAATAAGTTTTACTGTAAAATAATAAGAACACCGTAATACCAAAAAACAAGATTCAAAGGTAAAAAAATATACCTATATATTTATATATATATAAAAAAAGTATTGTTTTTGCTGATGGTTTAATAAAACGTTATCAATTCTCTATCAAATTTTAACAAAACATTGAATTACCAAGTAAAAAATGTACCATTGCTATATTTCGAGAGAGATAAAAGAAACAGTCAGTTATGAATGTATCATATATTCTTTTTGATTAACATCATACATGAATGCTGTGGAAATACTGTGATGCTCAAAACAGTTAGAATTACAGCTCATTGATGATGAAAACAGAAATCCACAAGATTTAAACAAAGCTTTGAAACCAAGTGCTGCATACAAACGTATTGTTCACTCCAAATGATAAGTAATAAAGGCAAAATAATAATTGAAGAGCTGGATTTTTACAGATGGGTTCAAATGTCCCCACTGGTCATATACTGCTGATCGCAGCCTGTCTGCTAAACGCACTTGCTCCAACTCTATCAGTGAACAGAGGCGGAGAGTGCACATTCAACACCAAAGGTACATCACCGCACTTAAAATAAATGACCTTACTTTATTTGTGTGTGGCACTAATGTCTAAATACATAAACCGTAAGTCTTTGTGCTATTTTTAGGCACCTGTGAATATCAAGGACAGGTCTTCGGCATTGGCGAGAGTTGGATTACTAAAGACTGCTACCAGTGTGTGTGTATGGAGCCCTTCGGGGTGGGCTGCTGCGATCAGTAAGTCTGCACTACTGAGCCTACAGGAAGTTCTTTTTTAAATCTATACACTGTTGAACTTTCCAAGCTGTTTACATGTGTTGGGGCAAATCTACCCACTAACCTGCACATATTCAGTGTGTGTTTTCTCACCCTGACAGTTACTCCCTACAAGTAGATTATCCTGAGTGGTGTGAGCTCATCAGAAAGCCCGACTCCTGCACCAGTGTGGCTGTGATGAGAGCCAATCACAAACTCCCTTGTCTTTATGGGAAGTGGGGCAGGATGCGAACCGAGACATGGAAGTCTGACAATGATTTATTGTTCTAAATGAGATGTTAAATATCACTAATTTAGGTTTGCAATTTTACCTTTTGGGAATTGAAAAGCATCAACCATTTTTACCATTCTGTTTCGGGGAATTACAGGGGTCATATGATGCTGCTAAAAAGAACATTATTTTGTGTATTTGGTGTAATGAAATGTGTTTATGTGGTTTAAGGTTAAAAAAACACATTATTTTCCACATACTGTACATTATTGTTTCTCCTCTATGCCCCGCCTTTTTGAAACGAGTCGATTTTTACAAAGCTCATCGGTCAGAAAAAGCGAGGTGTGCTGTGATTGGCCAGCTATCCAGTGTGTTGTGATTGGCCGAACACCTCAAGCGTGAGACGGAAATGTTATGCCCCTCACCATACTGTTGATGCCGTGTCCCAGCCGGAGCGACAAGGCAAAAAACATGAAAACCCATTATAAACGAAGCATTTGTTGCATCCAGTGGGGACATAATTACTGATTATAATGACTTATACTGTCTTTTTACCTGTTGCGTTGCATCGCGCAAACATAAAACCATGTCTGCATTTGTGATCGGAGAAATGAC